AAGGTGGCAGAGCGCCCAAACATGGTGGGCGTCGGCCATGGAGGGATGATGGGACACGTAAGCAGGGTGCCAGACGAAGGCTGGGTGAGCCTCTGGTGGTTACTGAAAATTCTTTGCTCCTGCAAGCCACAGTCTCACCTGATGCTCACACCTGCTGCTGGTGCTGGCCTCACTCACACCTGCTGCCAGCACTGGCGGCTGCTGGCCCCAATTTCCCCTGAGGGCTTCTCCATCTCCTCCTGCTCCTAAGGGGCAATTGAGGCAGCAGCCACCATTGGCATCCGCTGACAGCACTAGCCCCGCTTGCATCCACTGCTGGCGCTGGCTCCAATCACTCCATGCTGTCAGTGGTGCAAGCGGGGCCAGTGCCATCAGCACATGGGAGCAGCAGTGAGGACTGCTGTCAGACAGGGATCCGGGGGCTGCGGAGAGAAGGGCCAGGTGGGGGTATGGCAGAGGGGCAACTTGGGGGCATGGAGGATGGGCCGAGTCCCACCCTTGTGCCCACCGTAGACTTGCTGCCCACAGTTCCTTTCAAAGTGCACAAATTTGTGCACTGGTCCCCTAATAAATTATAAAAGCCCAATATCATTAATATTGAAAAAATTACTGAACACATTGTTCCTAAGCACAGTAGTCCTTGGTTTATGTCAGACTCGATGTATGTCATTTCATGGTTATGTCGCCATCTCCTACATATATATATATATATATTTTTAAATATTTTTTATTGATTTCTTACAGAGAGGAAGGGAGAGAGAGTTAGAAACCTCAATGTGTGAGAGAAACATCGATCAGCTGCCTCTTAGCCCCCCCCCCCACCATGTGCCTGAAACCAAGGTACATGCCCTTGACCGGAATCGAACCTGGGACTTTTCAGTCCGCAAGCCGACACTCTATCCACTGAGCCAAACCGGTTTCAGCTCCTATATATTTATTAAAAAAAAAAAAAAAAAAAAGTTGTCATTTTGATGTATGTACATATGTGCTTTATGTTTATTATTATTTATTTACTACAAGGTCAGGAATTGTTCTTTCTTTTAAATTATTTTTACTGTTTCACTTCATTACTGCTATGTATGTGCTCCATGTGATTGACATAGGTGCTTATGTAGGTGGGTTCTGACTTACGGCAAAAATCGTGTTATATCACACCGTAGGAGTGGATCTCTGGTGTAACCCGAGGACCTACTGTAGTAATTCAGATTAGTCAAATTTCTTTTAAGTGGCCTTGAGATTAATAATTTTAAAAGAACCCCCAAGAACATTCTACCACTTCAATAGCCAAATAAACTTAGAGCAATTAGTCACTAAAACACACATACACACATTGACTGATTCATATTTATCTGCAAAACCTCAAAAATACCCATCTGCCCTTTACAGCACACGATGGCTGAAAATGAAAATCAAGGTGCGCTCTTCCTCCCAAGAGCATGCCCACGCTGCCCCTCATCCTTTCCCCCCCACAGGCATGCGTCTCCTAAACTTTTTTTTTTTTTTAAATATATTTTATTGATTTCTTACAGAGAGGAAAGGAGAGGGATAGAAAGCTAGAAGCATCGATGAGAGAGAAACATCGACCAGCTGCCTCCTGCACACCCGCTACTGGGGATGTGCCCGCAACCAATGTACATGCCCTTGACCGGAATCGAACCCGGGACCTTTCAGTCCGCAGGCAGACGCTCTATCCACTGAGCCAAACCGGTTTCAGCGTCTCCTAAACTCTTAAGACCCGATGATGGGCAGCAGCAACTTGTCCCAGACAAACTCTCTGAACCTGATCCCAAGGCCCCTTTTCTCTGACTTAATGAGCCAAAGCAGAGCAGCTTAGGCTCATTTCCTCAGTCCTTCTTTGTTTCATTGTCCCCAGCTTTCATAAATGACTCCTAAAATTCAGAAAAAGAAAAAGAAGCCAAAACCAGTTTGGTTCAGTGGCTAGAGCGTCAGCCTGCGGACTGAAAGGTCCCAGGTTCAATTCCAGTCAAGGGCATGTACCTTGGTTACGGGCACATCCCCACTGGGGGGTGTACAAGAGGCAGCTGATTGATAATTCTCTCTCATCGATGTTACTAACTCTCTATCTCTTTTCCTTCCTCTCTGTAAAAAATCAATAAAGTGTATTTAAAAAAGAAAATCAAAATGAGACAGTATATGAAAGTACTTGATAAGCACTTAAAATCATAACATATGTCAGTAAGTAGTAGAGTATACACGAAGAATAATTAAATTCAAGTAATGCTCTAAGTAAATGAGTAGGAGACATGGTGTCATTAGCCTGGCATCTAATCTTAGTTCAACCATTAAGCACCAGTAACCTCATGATAAGACAAGTCACTGATGCCCACTGAGCCCCATTTTCTTGTGGAAAGCAACAGAATTGAACTGAAGTCCTTTTTGGCTCGCTACTTTGATTAGTAACATTTCATACCTCAATTACTATGTTAAATAAACAGCATTTCACATAACTAAATAATCTCACTGTGTGCTACCACATCACAAGTGGATATCCCAGCTTCTGTAATTCAGCAGATATAGCAGAGAATACTACCACCTTTTATTTTTTTATTATTATTTTTTAAAATATATTGTATTGATTTTTTTTTACAGAGAGGAAAGGAGAGGGATAGAGAGTTAGAAACATCGAGAGAGAATCATCAATCAGCTACCTCTTGCACACCTCCTACTGGGGATGTGCCCGCAACCTACATGTACTTGACCGGAATCGAACCCGGGACTTTTCAGTCGCAGGCTGACGCTCTATCCACTGAGCCAAATCGGTTTCAGCCTACCATCTTTTATAGACTTATGTACAGACCGGTGACATATTCAACACATTATTACATATTCATTCACAGGATGGATCAAAGATTAAATGAGATGAAGATAGATTTTATCCCTCACTTATCAGACCAATGAGCTGAAGTCAAGATCAAGCCATCTACAACAATGCACAGCTGCAAAAGTAAAAACTGGAGGGGGAGAGTAGCTTCCATGCCCTTCTCAGCCAGGGATAACGGAGCACCAGACGTGGAATGTAACAGAGCCACCTTCTAATGTCCAATTGGCTGTGGCAGAAAAGCAGGCAGTCCCTCATTCACATTTGCTAAACCACTAGGCACTTGTTTTCTGGCTGCCAGAGACACGATAATGAACAAAAGAAAAATGCCTGGCCTCACTGAGCTTACATTGTGGTTGGGCATGAGCAACAAGGCAAATGAGTAAAATATAGGTTATAGTATAGTGGTAAGTGCTATGGAGAAAAACAAAACATGAAAAGAGGGTAGAGAGCATGTGTTTGAGGATTTGCAAATTTTCTTTTAAGCTGCCTGGATGCCACATGAAAAACTACAACAATAATGCATCTAGAGTTGTTTTCTTAAGCATTTCCCCAGAACACTTTGGATACCGGGAAGACTCTGGCCACTGATTCCAATTTGAGATTGATTGCTCACACCTCTGAAATGCCAGCTATGAGTTGTCATATCAGCAATCTAAACACCCTACTAACAAAGACTCCCACCACAACCCCACCTTTAAAATCACAGAGCGAACCGAAACCAGCCTGGCTCAGTGGATAGAGCTTCGGCCTGCGGACTGAAGGGTTCTGGGTTCGATTCCGGCCAAGGGCATGTACCTTGGTTGCGGGCACATCCCAGGTGGGGGTGTGCAGGAGGCAGCTGATCGATGATTCTCATCGATGTTTCTAACTCTCTATCCCTCTCTCTTCCTCTCTAAAAAACCAATAAAATATATTTTAAAAATAAATAAAATAAAATCACAGAGTAAAAATTTATTTACAAAAGAGCCCTGAGAAGTTACAAGAGCATTTTAACTGCTTGTGACTTGGAACAAATGTCTACTCGTGTAAAGGTTCAAGTGTACCAAGTTCAAGTGTACTCGGTACCCAAAGGTTCAAGTTTGGGTACCGAGTTCTGCTAAGGCAAAGCACTTAAGAATGCCGCATCATTTTGCTTATTCTGACTTGTCAATTCTAGTGAGTTCTCTACTATTAGTCTATCTTTAACCAGCTTACTGGGAAGTTTCTTCAGCTTTTTAGTAATTTTTTTCTCTTTTATTAAAAGAGCAACCCAGTTTGCAAGAAAATTGCTGGAAGAAAGTTAACAGCCCCCCCTTCCCTATAAGATCTGATACACTTGGTTAATCACTATCTCATCAACCTTTAACCAGGTTAATTGGAATGGCAAATCAGGTTAAGCTTTGTTTTCCTAAAGTTTTAAAATGCTTTCCGAGTCGCTAACATTTCTCGGTCCTCTAGTTGTTAACTGCATCCTTGAGAATTGCAGTAGTTTTAACATTCTCTATAGCTTACTTGGACGTGTGTGTCTATTAATGCACAGCCCTTCTCTTAAACGGAGTTCCCACAAGGAAGTGGAAAAGGCACAATGGACAGAGAACTTCAGGCTGGGCGGTCGGATCGCCAACCGGAGGAGACGATCCAGTACCAGAGGGTTTTCCCTGAGCCCACACCCGGCGTGGAGCTTGTTTGGCTTCTCGGCGGGAGCGGCGCTGCCAGCCATGGGCCCCGCCGGCTGCGCGGCGCTTTGGAGGCGAGCCGCCCGCAAACTTCAGCCGGGATCCGCGGGCTGGGCCCGGCGAGGGGCGGCTCTTCGCGGGCGCGGCCCCGCTCTGCTCGCGGGTCCGGGACCCGGGACAGTCCGGGACGGCGTCGGGGGGTGGCCTGCGGGTTTCGGAGGCCCGGACCAGAGCGGGGCTGTGGGAATCCGAGGAGGGCCGACGGACTGCGGCCCGGTTCCGGGGTCGGTCATCGACAGAGGGGCGAAGGTCCCGTGGGGCCCAGGCGAAGACCCCGGAGCTGTCCCAGGGGCCCAGCTGGGGAGTCTGCCGGGAGGGACCCAGGCGGCTGCGGGCGGGCGGGGGTTGGGGGGGAGAGGTGGGTGGACAGAGAGCCACGCCCGGCCGGCCCCGCCCCGCCCCCGGGGCTCCGGCAGCGCCGCCGCGCCCGGCCCCCTCCTCACCTGATGTACGGGCTGGCCGCCGCCAGGATGTTCTTCTGCACCGGGATCTCCTCCCCGTCGAGGACCAGGTGCGCGTCGCAAAAGCGGGACTCCTCGCGGAAAGAGCTGAGGGCTCGCAGCAGGCGCGCGGCGTGCTGAGGGTCGCACACGGCGCTCCCCTCGGCCATCGCGGCGCCCGCCGGTCAGCCGGCCAGTCCTGTTCCCCGGACGCCGCCTCGCCGGACCCCTGGGGCTGTCCGCGTCCGGCGCGCTCCCGTCTACACAGCCCGCGCGCGCGCGCCCCCCCGCCCGTCCGGCCCGGCTATCCGACTATCCGTGATCCGTGAACTAGCAAGAGCCCTCGGACCGCGCCTGCGCCATCCTCGGCGCTTGGGGCCGGTACCTTTAAGGAGCCACTTCGTTACGTCATTTCTCCGCGACGCCCCACGCTCTTGCTCCCTCCCTCCCGCCCGCCATCGCTGGAGGCAGCCAATCAGAAGCGTCGTTCCCCTGTAGGGCCCTCGGGTCCCCGCCCCCGCGCTGTCAGAGCCTGTCCACCACCCGGAGGGATCTCAGCGGCGCGGGAGGGTGTGCGGCTGGTCCTGGCCCGGGCTTTGAGGTCTAGCCGGCGGCCTCTGGACCCCCGAGTCTCGGCTCTTCCACTCTAGCTGTGTGACCGTGGGCACGGTGCCCGTTCCTCACCGCTCCATCTGCAACCGGAAGATGATGACTTCTTAGTGTTGTGGACTAGCATGTGAGCAAGGACGCAGTAGGTGTAGTTTTTATGATGTTTGAGAGAAAGCCGCTTCCTAGTAAGAGCAGAGACGCGAGAAAACAGGCTCTGAAAAGAGCGTTTTGGTTGCGGCCTAGGGAGGGGATGTAGCTGATGAAGCTGGAGAAGTAAGCGACAGGTCTTAAATTCTGCAGGGCCTCCTTGGCTGTGGGAAGGAAGGTAGTTGGTCTTGGTTCCTGGAAGTGTTAGGAGAAATGAAAAGGCTTTGAGAGGATTGTAGTTTTTTTAGTAAAGATCACTCAGCCGCTGCATGGAGAGTGTGTGTGTGTGTGTGTGTGTGTGTGTGTGTGTGTTCCAGAGACAGAATGATCTTATTTATCGCAGTACTTGAGGGAAGAGAATGGTGGCCTAGATGGAAGACTGATGATGGCTGTTGACAGTAGTGGATGACTAGAATAGTAGATAGAATTGTGAGGGAAGTGGAGTCCAGGATAATGTTCTGGGTTGAGTACCTGCAGGGATGTTGGGATGAGAGAGAGAGAGAGAGAGAGAGAGAGAGAGAGAGAGAGAGAGAGAGAGAGAGAGAGAGAGAGAGAGGACGTTGAAGGGGTGGAAGCGAGAGAGGCCAGACATTCGTTTATGACAGGAAGCAACTCTGGGTCAGCTTGACGTTTAAGGCAAGCCCCATATTGTCTGAGGTTTGCCCTTAGGCTGCTAAGGGCACATGGGAATGTGGAATGTAGTCACCATTTCGTACAAACAGGTGCTCAATAAGCTTTAAAGAAATAGCAATTTTATGAGGACCAAGGACCAGAAGAATGTGATCCTCAATCCAGATAAGGCGAGATGTGGTTCTCACGGGATCGACTCGGTCTTTTCTTTCAGCCAAAGGCTCCAATGAAGTATTGGGTCTTTATCCTGAATCAGCCAAGGCTTTGCAGTTGCTGCTAGGAATCAGGGTATAGAATTCTACTAGAGTCACTGGCAAAAGGATGCAACCAGTGAAAGGTCTAGAAATGTACAGTCCTTTCTTCAAACACAGCTCAGTATTTATGGGTGAAATGACAAAAAATGTTTCGCATTCACTTCAAAACAAAAGGAAGGGATGGAGGGAAGCAGGTGGGGGTGTAGTGAATCAAAAGTGGCGATTGGTTGTTAAAGCCGGGTTATGGTACATGGAAATTTGTTGTACTAGTCTCTGTCCGTTTGAGTTTGTTGTAAAATGTCATAAGCAATAAAAAACAAGATGAGCAACTTTCTTCACCGTGATACTTGCCCAGTATCCCAGAAAGCAAACAACACTTTCTCCAAGTTGTTGCTGTGTTTTGAACATTGCTTTGGTAAGAAACTTATTGTAATGAGTTTATTCATGTCACCTGCTACCTTGTATATTTTAGGGTGTCTCTGTTTCCAAGTGTCAAGTACAGTGCCTAGTAGAGCTCAGTGAATGTTGGATGGAGGGATTAATATTTTTTAATTGATCTTAGTGAGGAAGTGAGGGGAGAGAGAGGAGAAAGAGAGAAAGAAGATATTAATATGAAAGAGACATCATCAGTAGGTTGCCTCCGATATGTGCCCTGACCTGGAATTGAATCCATGACCTCAAGACCTGGTGCACGAGACAACACTCCAACCAAACTGAGCCACACTGGCGAGGGCAGGTAGATGGAGGAATCTAAAAAACTGTGAATACCAGGCACTCAATAAATGTTTTCTGAATCATGTTTTATATTTTTAGTTTATTTGTGTTTGTCATTTTTTCTCAGCTGGATTGTTTTTAAGGTCAAAATGATACTCAGGACAGAGAGAGTTCTCTATACCATATAGACATTTGATGAATTCTTATTGATTCATTGCTTGGAATGCTGGTCTACTCTTCAGATGCCAGAGGTTCCAAAACAAAACAAAGAACTCAAATAACAGAATCACCCTCAGGTAACCAGTTATCCCAAAATGGGAGTGTTGTCTTAATTGAAGAGGTGAGTGAGGATTAGTCAGGCAGGTCCTTCCTGGTAAGGATGAACCTTCTCTGATGTTTTGACAGAAGGAAGGAATGAGAGGGCCTGGTTAAGGATTGTAGACAGACCAGCATCACTCTGGTACAAGGTAGTTGGTGGCTTGAGAGGGTTACCCATGCATCAGGCAGCTAATGAGCAGAACTTGTATATGCTTTCAATACCACCCTCACTGCAGTATTCCCCACCAACCCATCTGCCTGAATAACTCACATTCATTCTTCAAAATCCAGCTCAAAATGACCTTCAGGGAACCTCCAACCAGCTTCTCATGGCAGAGTTTCCATGCTAGGCCACATTCATGTGTTCTGTGCTGCACTGACTTCACTGCACTGTAATTAACTGGTTTATAAGTTGGTTTGTGTGCTTCTCGGGAGTGCTTAGTAGATGCCCCCTAATTCTTTTAGGTAATTAGTTAGAGGTAGCAAGTTGAGCAATTGAGCAGGAGAGGCAGGATATAACACAATAGGGGTAGGTGGGATTACAGGGTGTTGAAGCACACCCGCCTCAAGTGGGAGGATGCTCCTCAGCTGATTGCACATGCCCAGTGGTGCCAAATCCAGCAACTTTTTAAGAGATCTGAACATTCACATTCACATATTGAATGTCCCAGTTTTTTCAAAATTAGCCACTAATTCAATTTGGGAAATAAAGATGCAGCATATGTCTGCAGACAGGATTGGGTTTTAATTCACTCCCAGAGGTAATCAGAAACCCATCTTGGTTTACTGAGAAGGGAATTAACAATCAAAGAGATGCTAAGCTCTCAATAGAAATTGCTGAGTCGAACTCAGGTGCCCCAAGAAAACTCATCCCAGTGCCGTAGGAAAGGAAGAAGGATTTTGCAGAGAGGGCCACAACCTATCCTTCCATCTGCTATAGGAGCCACTCCTGGTTGGGCAATGTTTTGCAGCCTTTCTTGATATTGCTCAAACTGAACTGGCTTTGATATTGTGTATGGCCATCAGAAAGGTGTATTTGGTGTTATTGTCTCTCAACATTCCATAGATGTAAGACACCAGCTATTGTGAAACATATAATCTAAGAGATCCGATATCATCCCAGCAGTTTCAGTCTCTGGTGACTATAACTGTCCCCTTCTGGTATAGAGGCTAAACAACCCTCAGAAATAGGACTTGTTTTATTTTAGGTCCAAAGGATGTTCACAAGATATTAACATGAGTCATTCAACAGATATTAAGCACCTACTGGTACATGTTGCAGATACAATGATGGTGAAAACATAGTTACCTCAGTGGTATCATTGTAGAGGTTTTTTACTCTGTGCTTTTCTGATCATGTATCATTTTTTACAATCAGAAAAAAAAAATAAAACAATTTCACTTGCAAAAAGAAAACAGTTTTGCTTTGCTTTGAAAAAATGATCCCCCAAAGAAGAAAAGAATCACCCTGGGGTTTGGGGTTTTATTTTTTAATAAATGTTATAGGAATGGGAATCCAGTGAAAGGGAAAAAATGAATAGTTTGAAAGCTCTTTACAAGTCATCAAATCCAATGGATTCATTGTATTGAAGAGAAAACTTAAAATGAGCAAACAGCTTGTTCAAGGTCATACATGTGACCTCATCGGGTGGAACAGACAGGCCTTGAGCTTCTGCCTTCCAGCCCTGTAAGCTTTTCCATTACACCAAGTTCACTCTTGGTAAACATTAATTTGGTTGAGACAGTCTCTTCTGATTCATTTTAAGGCGGTCTTCATGTATTTTATTGGGGTAAATCTGCCATTTATCCAAATCTATATATAGCCCATTTCTTTCCGAAAATCTAAGCTCTTCCAAATTGCTGAGTCAGAGAACATCTCAGTATTTATAACTCTTTAGTTGCTTCTTATATTTATACAATATTCAGAGAAGTGTCTCAGAAACTAGTGAACTAATTAAGTTGTAATGAAGGTAGTGACTATGTCTGTCTTAAGTTGATGCTATACTCCTTAGCACCCAGCGCAGTGCCTGACACATAGTTAGGTGCTCAGTAAATACTTGCCAAATGAATAAATGCTAATGGGTAGGAGAACTGAGATTTTTCTCTCCATAGGGAGGAAGAGAGCAGAGGAGTGGGGAAGAAGGAAGAGAGGGAGGTGAGGGAGAAAGAAGAAGCTTACTGGACTTTTTCATCCCTTGCTGTCTAACCTGACATTGCAAACTTAGAGGAAGATGAATTATCAACAATGATTCAAAGGACCTGAAGGGAAACTTCCAAACCTTAGAAGATTATAGTATAATAGCTCTGGGCATAGGTTGTCCCAATAATGTCTTCCAAACTAAGACCAGTGCAAGAAACTTTATTTCACTACCTAAAGGTACACCACTTTGCACTTGTACTCTGTAAATTTGATTTGGGTGTTGGATGTTGTTTATATACCCCAAAGCATGTAAAAGATAGTGAATTTTTGTCCTCCCCCTAAAATTCTAGCCAATACA